TGTCCAAAGACATACACCCGCAAATGCACTTTTCACTGAGAAGTCAGGGGTGGTTGAATAAACATTCTTATTCAGTCTTTTAAAGTGGCAACCTGTAATATTCAAATCACTAGATAGGGCCCTATTGACAGGAAACGCACTCAATGTCAAAACCATCACACAGTAGCTCTGCATCTGGGCATGACCTCAAGACCACTGCTGGAGCTTGAAATCCTCACAACGCTCTTTGCCGAACAATGGAACGATGCAGTGTAGTCACTTCATTCACAAGTTTAAAATGGATTTATGATATTGAAACTAGAAAAGTTACAGAGAAATCGAAGGCGGTCGGTAATCAACTATGGACATTTATTTACAGTGTTTATTTCTGTTTGTAATATAGACGTCAAATTAAAACGTTCATCAAACTTTTTATCATGCCTTCATAATTTATTTGTATACAATTTTTAAAATGTAATTTAAGTATAGCTTTTGTTTTACCCTTGTCCCAGACTGAGATCTTAAAATGTAAAAAACATTTTTTTTGACAATTTTATGAATGCAATATGTGATCATATATATGAACACACACATATATATATATATATATATATATATATATATATCAAAATAAATGAACTATTACTTTTCGTAAGACTATTTGGTTACACTTAAGGTGTCATTGTTACAGTTTAATTATATATTTAAGTACTGAGTAATATTAATTATCAACACCATAAGGTTAGGGTAGGATTAGGGTTTGCTTGAGGGTTAATTGCACGTAAAAATGCATAATTTTCTGTTATTACTATGGTAAGCACATATAACATGTAACCAAGGACACTGTAAAATAAATGATGCATAATTACATTTAGCTAACCCTAAATCAAACTTTAATTCTAACACGTTAGAAAGTATGTTCTAAATTAATATTACTCAGTACTTAAACTGTAACAATTTTAAAACTATATATATATATATATATAGCTGTAGTTTTGTTAGATTATGCCAAAAATGTGAAAATATTAATTAATAGAGTGTCTATTATAGGATACATCAAATGTTAGCAATGAAAATCACCTTAGCAAGACAAAGCAGTCAACAATTTGATTCCAAAAATGTATTCTGTCACTTCCATCATATCAGAATATATTTGTAATACATTCATAATATATTTTTAACATGACTATGACATTTGGTTTTGAAAAATGACTGTTCCGTAAACATCTCTCATTTTGTTTCCACTTTATTTCGATAGTCCACTTTAGACATTCTACGAACTATGAGTAACTTTTCAACTACATGTCAACTAACTCTCATTAGATTATTAGTAGGCTGTAGTAGACTCTTAGGTTATGGTTAGGTGTTAGGGTTCGGTGTTAGGAGAATAAGTTGACTTGTAGTTGCCAAGTTACTTATAGACGGTAGAATATTTGTTGGGGGAGCATCAAAATAAAATGTTAACAGATATTAAGCATAGTCTACTAATACTCTAATGAGAGTTAGTTGACATGTAATTGCAAAGTTACAATTGCATATTAGAATGTCTAAAGTGGACTATCGAAATAAAGTGTTACCCTGATTTTCCCTATGATGCTTGTATGTCCATAGCTCGACATCGTTTGTCGACAAATAAACAAGTGAAGGTGAAAAGTGTGTTCAGAGAAAGTTTATTTTCTAAAAGGCTAAAAGTGTCCTATAGTTATATAAACACCCTTAAACATTCAATCAAATCATGCACAAAAACTTGACTTCTGGAAATGAGCCATAAGAATCTTTTTTTTAGTTCTAAATGCTGACGGCGCATTTAGGAGTGTTTACTGTTGTACTGGCTCTCGCTGTGAGCAATGAATACCACTTCCCTAAAGCAAATTCTGCCAGGATCCATCAAGAGCAAAGGTTACACTGTTAATTTTATTTCTGCATTGAGAAAGCTTGTCTCCGGCACAAACGGAACGATATTGCCTTCTAGAATAATTTCCGTTTTCGAGTTCAATATCTTGATGTGTCACTCACTCTCCGACAGTTAAGATTACGATGGGAGGTGAATCTGTGCTACTAAACAAATGAATCTATATGCACATATTTCCTGGAGAAGCTGTAACTGTATTTTTAATGTTTTCTGATGGCGTGCGTTGACATCTGACTTTCATACTACCTACAGAAATGAAAAAAATAACAACAATGAAAACAATAAAAAAGAAGCCACAGCTTTTCTGTTCACAATGACGTTTCAATAAAGGAGTCATAGATATGGATATAAGTAACCATTGGCAGAATGAGGAAGAAAATGGTACAATGATGAAAATGTGGGGAATAATTTGGTTTCTTTGTGCTGGAGAGCTATTGCCTCTGTGAAATTTACTGGCATGTGAACTTTAAAACATGCATTTTCCTCTTAAAGAGCTCAAATGGCTGAGGAGCATTTGCTGGAGGGAGGATGTGATTAGGTTAAAGAGTGGCGCCAGCTTCAATGGCATCGCTCGCTTCTTTGAAATGCACAACCATGCATTGTGGTCTGACAAACTGCACTCGGACTCTGCCTTAATCTAGCGTGAGGAGTTTCAGGAGTGGTCCGTGCTGAGCAATGTCAGCAGAGATTCAGTTGATGGGAATGTACAAAGATTTCAATTCTGTTCCAGTCTGCATGAACATCATAAGTCATCTTCATTTGTCCTTACAAAATAAATTAACTCCAACCATATATATGCAAGAATAATAATGATCCTATATTATTGTTATACTGTAATACTACACGTCAACGCCACAAAGCATAACAAAAAATCCCAGATTGGATGCATACAGTACATTTTTGACAGAACATTGATACTTGCAATCGTAATGCAACAAGGAATGTATTTGTAATACGCTATTTCAAAAAAGGGCTATTGAGATATTTTGCTGGCAGTAATTGAGCCTGCATGGCGACAGGAAATCAACAATAATGACTGAATGAATAAACACTTGTGCCAACCAGACTTGCACTCTATGGTGAATGATTCATTCAAATAATTTCGTTCAGAAATGTTGATTCTTTCAAGAACAACACATTTTGCTCAAACACACGCAAACATCAAGATCCGAGAGGAATGAAATAATAGTAATAATAATAATAATCCCGTTTTGAGAAAGTAAACTATGTAAGAATAAAATGGGTTTGCAGCCCACTTTACAGTTAAATTCCCTACTGAATATTTACCGATTAAAACATTCCTTTAGAGCTGGTGGGTGAAAACTTTTTGAATTTGAAGATCAAGGTAAATTGTACCGTACTTAATTAGTCTTCCGGGAAACATGTTCTGTTGCTTCCGAAGGGCAGTACTAAATTAAACAAACAAAAAAGATATTTAAACAAAATAAGAAAAATGTGGACATCTTCCTCCTGTTCAAAGGTTTTCACCCCCCAGCTCTTAATGCATCGTGTTTCCTTCTGGAGCACCAGTGAATGTTTGAACCTTTTTTAATAGCTGTGTTTGAGTCGCTCAATTGTCCTCAGTGTGATCTCAAAATCATACAGTCCCTGCTGGAAAAGAGTTCAAATATGCTGGAAAACTGAAGAATTTTCGGGATCTGGAGGATTTTTCTGAAGAACATTGGGCAGTTTAACTGCTCAGGACAAACAAGGGACTCAAGAACAACCATAACAAAACAAAAAAACAGTCGTGGATCATCCAGGTAATGACACCGTATTAAGAATCAAGGGTACATAAACTTTGTCATTTTTTTTAAATTCAGCTATTTTTTTTTTTATCTTGTGGACTATATGTAAACATATTTTATGTCAAATATCTTAATCATGACAGTACTAAATAAAAAATGTGAATGCTTTCTGAAGGATAATGTGGCACTGGCTGCTGACAATTCAGCTTTGCCATCACAAGAATAAATTACATTTAAAAATATATTAAGAATTGTGATCATATTTCACAATATTACTTTTTTTTACATCATTTGATCAAATACAGGATAAACAAATAAAGCACTTATTTCAAAAACATAAAAAAAATCAAATCTAACAGACCCCAAACTTTTGAACAGTGGTATATCTTTTAAATGTATGTTTTTGTGAGAAGTGTGCTTGTGCTCTCTTTCTTTAAAATAATTGTCACCTAGTTTGAAATAATGCAATGATATTTAACTGTGCTGTAATTGTCCAAAAATTCTTTGGGCCACTATAAGAACAATTTTTCTGGATGACTTCCACAATATAGCACAATTGTAAGCAAAGCTAGGCCAGATCTCATCCACACCTACTGCCACGAAAGAGCATAAAGAGCCTGAATCAAATAGTGCTAGTGCAACGTATCAACTTCATATAAATGCAATTTTGCAATGTTCCCACAAAACATCTCTTCCCCCACTGGGACAGTTGCACTAAATTTGTAGGCAGGGTGGCGGAGTTGATCTATTTCTGCTTGCAGAAACTCAAATGCGAGAGGGGGTGGAAAGCAAGAACAAGTGAGAGAGAAAGAGACCAAAGTACCCGTTTCTTGCTCTGATCCATTTCAACTTGGTTAATGTGGCTTGATAATGATCAAACAGAATATGACTTCCTCACAAATAAATGGCCCCCACAGCCACCAGTTGGCCATGGCATTTGGTGCAACCGACGCTTCTAAACGATTTATTCCTCTGCCGTCCAACAACTAATGGTAGCTGTCATCTGTAAAAGACCAATGATGGGAACATGGGCATTTGGTAACCATATCATTAAAACACATATGGGACATCAGTGCGTGGAGGCTACAGGGGCATATGTCAGTCAGCAGTGGCGGGAGTGGATGTAATCATAGCTCTAATTGTCTTCTTCCACACGCACCCCATTGAACCTCTAGTATTTATGTATCGCTCAGAACATATTTTTCCAGCACAGGCCGACAGAACAGAGGGAGATTTAATGAACCACTGGGCAGACATGTTTGCGGGGTTTGTCTAAATGACTGGGAGCTTTTCTCCTACTGAATCTGTCTTCATTTTGAGGAAAGAAACCTTTCTGAGCCCTCCATTAATGCCAATTTTACCTTGCTGCCTCACAGGGGTTTCCCAGCAGTCGATACACCATAGCCTGTCGAAGGTGGTTCTGAAAACGAATGGGGTTTAGCTGGATACTCCTGCAAGTCAGATGGGAAAGAGATGGGAAAAATGTGAAATCATGTTTCCAGGAACAACTTGGAACCAAACTACATAAAACGGATCAATCATAACCCATAATGTGATTTATTAATAAACAAATTAAAAATGTAAGACACTGATGTCCATTAGTATATATACAGTATATATATATATAAACTCAGTTGCACAAAATGTTGTTCCTATTTTAAGTCATTTAAAATGCATGAGATGGATGGCATATTCTGAATGATGATAAAGCAGAATTAAAAAATAAAGGAATACACTTCAACAGCAAATGAATGAGTCATCATTCAAATAGTAACATTGGGAAAATATACAGAAATAACACATATTCACAATAATAATAATAACAGTAATACAAATAACACAAAATGTCAGGCAGGAATAATTATACACACTAAAAAAACTAAATAATGTATTCCCGATAGTATTCCAGGAAAGGGCGCCAAACTTTCAAAAAGAGATTATGCTTCTGTCTCATTGCGAATCTTTTCCATTTTAAGAAAATGCTGAAAGTAAAAGACCCATTAGCTTCCAATTCACGAGAATGATCATCTAGCCAATCATCAAGCCAATAAAGTTGCCAAGGTTACACTATCAGCCAGTTTGACAGATTCTGTTCAAACACCAAATATTGCCGTTACATGGTCACGGTCCATTGGTAAAGAGAAGATAACTGAGAAACATCTGAACACTCCCCCAGAAGTCACACAACTTGGGACACGGCCAAAAAGAGTGCAGTAAAGTTGCTGGTTCAGTTACGCAACGAAGGCAGGTTGGGTCAAAATCAGGACATTTTTTGTTAAGATTAGTTCTGGACCAGTGATTTCTGTGCACTTCCTTGAATTGAATGAGAGTCTGCCTAGCATTTATTTAATGATGAATGTATTCAGCCAAGGATTGAGTCCCAAACATTTTCCTCAAGTACCAGGTTTAGCTCCTCCTCCTATATCATCCTCAATGGAGCCATTGAGGGGAATTGTTTTGTATTAATCATAGTATAGATCTTAGAGATCGCCCCTTTCATGGATTTGTGGTGTTGTATATCCTCAATAATTTGCTCTGATTAAGTTTTAAAAAAGTAATTGGCTTCACCTGAAATGGGTCATATACAGTATACCTAAGAAGTTAGGTTTCCTAAACGCTTCTTGGCCTGATCAGCTGTTGACCGTTAAGGAACAAACAAATGGTATTTCCTCATTTCCTATTCATTAAATTCAGAGTCATCTCTGACAGGTGCTCCAGCGAGAAACAGACAGACAGGAAGACAGGCGTAGAGACCTCAGTGAAGCAGCGACACATCCTTAAAAAATAAAAAAACAGCCGCCTGCCAGCGATCATAGCCAACTTTGGAGCTACATTAATTACAGTTCCGTCATCACTTGTCGCAACATGTGGGGTGTTACTTCACACACACACGCTCTCTTTCACTCAGCCTTTTAATGCTTGGTGAAATTAACTGCATGTTCCTTGTGGTTTACATGTGCTGGTTACAGCCGAGGTCGCTGGTAATTGAAGAGCCGGTGCCGTATGTTTGACGAGGCAGATGAATCGCCACGGCGCTTCCTCCAGACAGAGACAGAGTGTGAAAAAAGCCAGGCCTAACTCATTTTCTGACCAGCACTTTCTCTCTGTTATCCAATTCCTTAATAATTTACAGAGCTGACATCACAGTTATTAAACTAAAGCCCCATTAACCTGTACAAACTGGATTTTCTTTTTCTTTGTGCTCCATAACTGTCCGAATGTCAGAATATGATACTTTAAAACCACAGCCAACCCAGTTAATGACTTGTGGTCCTTATTGCAACATATTCTGGCCAAGAAACTCAATTTAGACAGGAAGGGTCCATCCTAAAATATATATATATATATTTTTTACCATTTTAACAGATTAAGAACACACACACACACACACACACACACACACACACACACACACACACACACACACACACACACACACACAACGGGCATTCTATAGCCAGGTAATCGGATTAGAGTTGGCAATTTAAGGTTACGTCTACATTAATCCGGATATATTTGAAAACGGAGTTCCCTGAAAAAGCTACTCTCAATGCTGCGCTCATAGCGCAATGGGAAAACGTCTTTGTTTGACCGGTTGTGAAGTAGGCTATGTGTGGCAAACTCACCAAGGAACTTGGCTTTAAATACCTCTGACAATGACGCCATTAAAATGTGCGCTCGTGAGAGGCTATAAATAGACGTGAAACAGGTGCGCCTTGAGGTTTCCTTGTCTTCAGAGACCGCATTGTGTGTGTGTGCTACACTCTCCATCTGTCCACTTTTTCAGTTAGATTTCCAGTTGTCAGTGTGCAGAAATTTCTCAGTGTGAAAATAAAAAGAGAAAGAGAGAAAAAGAGAACATCATGCCGCAAACAATCAGGTGAGGCGTGCCTCCGTGTTTACGGCCCATCCCAGATTATGATACACTTGAGTTCTGCTTTTAGAGTTTTTAGAGGAAGAGCATGCTGCCCTTGCGTTCGAGCATGGCGAGTGTGGCACTGTGAGTTTCTCTCCATTAAAGAGCTTCGTGCTCATCTCGCATATTTTCATGTAAGGGCAAGCTGCCACATTAAGATTATGGGGTTTGCGAGTCGATCTGGCTGAGGAGCGAGAGATGGGTCCGTCCCTTTCACTCTCTCTCCAGATCGGGATGTCCTCATGTCCGATTCTAGGCTTTCAGCTGATGTTGTACATACTATTCTGAGTGATAGGGTTCCCTCCGCAAGAAGAATCTATGCCATTAAATGGGGTGTCTTTGAAAGATGGTGTACTGCATGCCATGCAGACCCAGTTCACTGCCAGATTGTTTCAGTGCTGGAACTTTCAAAAAGAGTTCCAGCACTGGAAAGCTATCAGCAGGCACATGCCCTGCTACTCTGAGGGTTTTCCGGCCGCCAAATCGGCTTGCCACACCCTGACTGACGGTGGCACCAGTTAGTAATAATACTTATAATAATACATTTTATTTGTAATGCGCCTTTCTCAGACTCAAAGTGCTACAGCATGTACAGAACAAAATAATCAAACATGGAAGTAAAAAATATAGAAGTATAAAAAAAAAAAAAAAAAAAAAAATACAATTATACATTAAAAGCTTGACTAAAAAGATGTGTCTGAAGAAGTTTCTTAAAACAATCCACTGAAGCAGTGCGGGTAGATAGATGCGGGTAGTGTGTTCCATAACTTAGGTGCGTTATAGGAAAAGGCTCTTCCCCCCATGGTTTTCAATTTACAACGAGGCTGATACAGAGAGAGAGAGAGAGAGAGAGAGAGCCAGCAGAACGGAGAGAGCAAGCAGGAGTGGATGGAGTCACCAAATCACAGATGTAATCTGGAGCCAACCCATGTACTGCTTTATAGGTTAAAATCAGAATTTTAAAATCAATACGTGGCTGAACTGGAAGCCAATGCAGTTGCTGGAGCACGGGTGTAATGTGATGGCATGAGGATGTATGAGTTAAAACACGTGTGGCAGAGTTCTGTATATATTGCAACCTCTTAATAGAATTTGCTGGTAAACCAGCAAAGACAGAATTACAATAATCAAGCCTTGACGTGATGAAGGCATGGATAAGCCTCTCTGCATCAGGCCTAGAGAGAAATGGTCTAATACGCGCAATGTTCCTCAGATGGATAAAAGCAACCTTCGTTATGTTTTTAAAATGTGAATTAAAAGTTAGCTGGGCATCAAAAATCACACCCAAGTTACGCACCTGGCCAGAAGGGGACAATTTGGTATTGTCTACTGAAATTTTAAAATCCTTACATTTACTGACATTAAATGGAGTGCCAATTAATAAGATTTCAGTTTTGGAGCAGTTCAGTTGTAGAAAGTTGAGTTTCATCCACGCTTTAATTTCCAACAAACAGTCAGAAAGTTTTGAAGAGGAAGAATTGAGATCAGGCTGAGAACTGATATAAATCTGGGTGTTGTCTGCATAACAGTGAAAGCTCAGGCCATACTTCTGAATGATCTGCCCAAGAGGCAGCATATAAACACTAAATAAAACAGGACCCAAAACTTACCCCTGAGGGACACCCTGACACAGAGGCACAGTCTGAGATCTGTTAGTACTAGAGATGTTCCGATACCCTTTTTCCCTTCCCGATACCGATTCCGATACCTGGACTCAGGGTATCGGCCGATACCGAGTACTGATCCGATACCTGGGTGTGTACAGTATCTATACAGCTGCAATTCATACTAGCACTGTATGAATTGATAGAATTATTTTATGGCGTGTTTCAGACTTATCCCTTAACTAAACATGAACAAATACATACAGTGAACTAGAGTATTTTTATTATCTGACATACATTTCACAGCAATATATTATTTATCTTTCTTAAGTGAAAAAGAACTTAAAATGCAACCACACATCTAATAGTGTAAACTGAAAAAGGTATTTTAGTTTTACAATATAACTGCATAAAAAAGTGCAACAAATAAATCTAGGAATCTAAAAAATGATGTATGAATAATATAAGAAAATAATCTCTTTTTAATTTAAAGTCCATAAACAATATTGTTAAATAAACCGCATTTCAGTTTTGACCGCGGCTGGTCATCCAGAACAATAAACTCAATACATGTTGTCGGTTATATTTATCGCTCGCTGGCTGTCTTTTAAAAACTTTTCTATTTGTTTGAATGAAGCTTTTAGAGATTGTTGATTCTGGCGCGGCTCATTCTTCTCTGCCCTTGCCTTTGTGTAATCGTGTTCTGTGGGGTGACGCGTCTTCAAATGCTTTAAGTTACTCGTGTTGAAGTTGCTAATACTTGTTCCACCCCTCGAAATTGCAGTATAGCATATAAAACATGTCTCCGTTTTCCTGGCTGGTTGGTCCAGTCTGAAATACTGCTAAACAGCTGCGGACATACTGCTATCGCGGGCGCGCGTTTTCTTCTTCGCTGCTCTAAACAGTGGTTGCTTGTGGCAACAGCACAACT